GAGCTGATCTTTGAACTTTTCTGTTCAGCTCTTGGACCTCCTCATTTCTTCCATTTGCTTTAGCATCTCTATGCTGGACAGCAAATTTCAGTGTCTCTTCTGACATTCATTTTGACCTTTTCCTTCTTTCTTGTCTTCTCAATGACTTTTTGTTTTCTTCATGTATGATGTTCTTGATGTCATCCCACAACTCTTCTGGCTTTGGTCTTTAGTGTTTACTGTATCAAATCTGTTCTTCAGATGATCTCTAAATTCAGGTGGGATATATTCAAGGTCATATATTGGCTCTTGAGGACTTATTTTCATTTTCTTCAGCTTCAGTTTGAATTTTGCATATGAGTAATTGATGGTCTGTTCCCCAGTCTTCCCCTGGCCTTGTTTTCACTGATGATATGGAGCTTTTCCATCGTCTCTTTCCGCAGATGTAGTCAATTTGATTTCTGTGTATTCCATCTGGTGAGGTCCATGTGTATAGTTGTCTCTTGTGCTGTCTAAAGAAGGTATTTGAAATGAACAAATCATTGGTTTTGCAGAATTCTATATCATGCGTTCTCCAGCATCATTTCTGTCACCAAGGCCATATTTTCCAACCACCGATCCTTCCTCTTTGCTCCCAACCTTTGCATTCCAATCACCAGTAATGATCAGTACATCTTGATTGCATGTTTGATTCGATTTCAGATTGAAGAAGTTGGTAGAATTTTTCCGTGTCATCCTCACTGGCTTTAGTGGTTGGTGCGTAAGTTTGAATAATAGTGGTATTAATTGGGCTTCCATGTAGGCGCATGGATATTATCCTATCACAAACAGCATTGTACCTCATGATTGATCTGGATATGTTCTTTTTGACGATGAATGCAACACCATTCCTCTTCAATTTGTCATTCCCGGCATAGTAAACCATGTGGTTATCAGATTCAAAATGGCCAATACCAGTCCATTTCAGCTCACTAATGCCTAAGATATCGATGTTTGTGCGTTCCATCTCATTTTTTACAACTTCCAATTTTCTCAGATTCATACTTCATACGTTCCATGTTCCGATTTTCAGTGGATGTTAAAGCTGTTTCTCTTCATTTTGAGTTGTGCCCCATCAGCAAATGAAGGTCCCGCAGGCTTTTCTCCCACGGACTTTACTCCATTCGTGTCATCACGGTCAACTCTACTTTGAGGAGGCAGCTCTTCTCCAGTCACATTTTAAATGCCTTCCAACCTGAGGGGTTCATTTTCCAGCACTAGATCTGACAGGATTTCTTTGCTATTCATAAGGTTTTCAGTGACTAAATATGCAAACTAGTTTGTTACTCTTTCTTCCTAGTCTGTCTTCATCTGGAAGCTCATCTGAAACCTGTCCACCATGGGTATTTAAATACTGATGGAATATCTTTCAGAATCACAGCAACTCACAAGCCACCACAGGATGACAAACTGACAGATGAGTGGTGGCCATTTGCTTTTAAGTGTCCCATAAAGATTACATCCAAGAAAACCATGTGAGGCCATTTTACTCATTCACATGGGTATGCTATGAGTCAAAAATAGACTGGAGGGTACTTAACAACAACCTTGTGCCAAGCACTGTGCTGCTAATACATTGCTAAGTAATAAACAGAACAAAACTGCCAAAATTGACCTTGGAGCC